AAAGAAAATTTTTGGTTGTAAACTTTTCCCCGTCCGTTAATAGAGCTTAATGCAGTTGTAGGGATGTTGTAAAGAACTTGTCTGCAAATGCGGGAATTTCGTAAAGAATCTCTAGTCTGGCAATTAAACCAATGTGTCTGGAATGTCAAACCATTCCCATTAAAAAACTCGAGCAGTCACTCAATCCAACAGTTCCCGCAATTTCCCAATCCGACAGCTTTCTAAATTACTCAATTGGACAGCTCACGCAAGCACTCAAGGAGACAGCATAGACAGGCAGGCATTCAATTACCACAACGATTCAACGGCAGAGAAGCGACAAAATGACAGTTCAACAGCACGAGCGACAAGACTATTTGGTATGTATCCTTTAATACTTACCATATATTGTTCATTTCGTTTCCATTATTGTTTCATGCGATATTGTACCATATCATATATGATCAATAAAGGTTACTGTCAACGCTATGGAGTTATAACAACAGAAAACAAACTACCAAATCTTCCATCGATAAATGTCAAATTTGATAAATTCAAAGGCATTAAGCTCTCAATCAACAAATTCCCTGCTATTATTCTTTCACGCTCCTTCTTTCTCCCATTATGCAAGAACTGAAAAACACATGAGAAATTCGGAATTACTTTTTGGAAATGGTTCATTCGTGAAACTTATTCACTGAAGACTTTAAAAATATACTTAGCCACTGGTCCGTGCATGAAGGATGAATGATGTGAAATGATTCTAAAATAAATTCGAAAATAATCTATCGATCAACAACCAGAATCCAACTGGTTCTCCCAACATGTACTTGGAACAAATTTGATAATCTTACCAAGTTGTAGTAACTGTTTGAACTCGTTTTATAATCAATATTCACCTAACTACCACCTGCAAAATAAAATGTAAAATAGTAATTTAAAAGCAAAATTTGCCTGAAGTAATGCAGAGGAAGTTACATTGCAATAATGCAACACTTATTCTTGACGGGATAGATTCTTTATCCGATTCCTTTTCAACATTAATTTTTATTACTAAGGAAGCAAACCTTTGGCAATCCAAGTGATTAATTCTGGCAAATTTCATTTTTTACTTACTTTTCTACACCGTTTCGTAAGCAGAAGTTAGATTAATTGATTACATGAACAATGCCATTATAATCTTTATCATCATCATCATTCATGGCAATAGTTTAAGTGTATGGCTACAAAGTGATAAGGATATTATATTTTTCCTTGCTGATTGTAAGAAGAATCATTCAGACCATATCGGCAAAGTGAACAGTAATATGCAAGTGTTCAAAGAAACCGACAAAATTCAGAAGATGCTTCATACCAATTTTTAGACATACAAAAAGAAAAAAAAATGTTTCGCTGACAACCTTCTCATTCTATCATCGCAATATTTTAAAATTAAGAGAGTTGAAAAATCATGAAATAAACAAAAATTGATTCTGGATACCTTTTTGAGGATACCTTTCTCCTGGATACCTTTTTTGGATATTCTGGACATCTTTCTTTGCCCATCATTTTAGTATGAGAAAATTTTTTTGATAGCCAAAGCGAAAGGTCAAAGATACGGTACCGTGAAAGATATGGCTCGAATTACCGATAGTTCACGGATTACCATATCGAAATACGACTGTTTTGATTAAAATACCCCATTTTATAGATCTATTACTTATTACGATTTGATGTCAACAAGCGGTGCAACAGAATTATCCTAATGACTTCAATATTCTCAGGCAACTAATTGTCTGTCAAATAAGTGAATTGAAACACGTACAATCAAAGAGGAAATGTTTGGAATATGTTGAAATGTTTAATCAGAAAAACTGGAAGACGCAAAACTTAAATTTTTTCCTCAATGAAGGAACGTAGGTTATCAAGAGGAAAGAAAAAGGGATGAAATATGAGCCAATTTAGAATATTTTGGCTATCAAAAAAAACGTGACTAAAAATAAAAAATAGGTCTACCGGTGTAGCGATAGTTCAGCTCGATTTGGTTTACTTTTTACCATTTTTTTGCCATTTAAAATTATACAAATCATATCGAAGTTTCTGGAATCTCTACTTTTTTCCCTCTTACCCGCAGTAAATAAAGAAACCGTTTAGTAGTACAAAAACGAAGTTGTGCTAAAATGAGATCGTACGGGCTAATTTACAGCTGATAAGGTTATTAATAATTACGCTTTACTTCCATACCCTTTAATTTATGTCGAGGTTTTTTGCGAACTATCAGTGCTAAAGGTTGTATATTCGTGACTATTTTGATGAGGAGTTCGTGAAGCTTTGAACTACTTAAATATCACTGATTACTTCAATATAGCACATGGCAAAACTTTTGAATACTGCGAAATTCAACAGAAATCAAAGTTTGGAACGAAATTATCGAATATTCTGACTAACCAGGCAAGTTTATTGAAAAACGAGAAATAAAAACCATCAAGGTGAAGAAGAAATTATGGATACTGATTCTAATCTTTATGATTTTCATATATAAAGTCTTTTCCAAATATTTATTTATGACCGAGACGGCAATACTTTGACGCATGGCATTGGATGGATTGCCCTTACCCAATATAAAATACGGATAGTGATAAGAATACAACTACATCCGATGCTTACAGAAGCTTTAAAATCATTATTGCAAGAATTTTTTAAGAATATTTCACACAAATCTTTCCATCCAAGCATTTCTGACTGATTAACAAAATAAGATACTAACTTTTGTGTATATTCAGGTGAGGGAAATTCAAGTGACTGTATGGATGACCCATTCAAACAAAACTTTGCCAATCGAAAGACAAAATTCATTCATGAACAGATATTGCAAAGGATGTGGATGTGATACTCACTCGAGTGACCCTGTATCCAATGATAGCATTATTCCATTCAAATATACCATAATAATAAGTAGCTCAATAACAGTGTTTAGATTACGTGATTAGCCTCAATGTTTCCGTGGGTTGCAAAGCAGCAAAGATGTAAATTCTAAAGAATAGAAACACAAAAAGTATTTTGATAGTCTTTTGAAAACATCCAAAAATTGAAGTTTGTAGAGAACCGACAAAAAATTGCAATTAAAGATTGGAGATCCTACTCATACGACAACAAGGACATAAAACATTTTTTTGCGTTGTTATAAAAGTATATACTTTTGCATTCAGTTTAAATAAGGATTATCAAGTCCCTTAAAAATACCATTTCTGAAGATATTACGAGTGAGGTAATCAAAAACAGCCGGATGACTACTCAGTCCATTGAACACTATTCTTTGTCTACTGGTAAACGAAGATCGAAGCATGAACATCAACTGTTGATGAAACAAATCAAATGGGCAACCATATTCTGTTGCCAAACGCACCTGTAGGATAATCAGTCGTTTCAGTAACAACATTTTAAAAAATTAAGAAGTCATAAATGCGGACAACATTAATTATTAATTAAGAAATATGTGAACTGAGATAAACCAAATAAACATAGATGAACGTATACGTTGAATGACTTCACTGACCACAAGAATATGCAAAAGATGCAATAAAAAAAGAAAAACAATCATACCCAATCCGCAACACATTGCTTCGGAGTAGAAGTGTAACCAGCGAACATAGCTGGGTTTTCTAACAAACCATTTGCCGACATTACACCTGCAAAATGACCATTACGACACACTGGATTTTGGTCTTCCTATTACAATTTTCTTGGCATGATGTTAGGGGCAAAAAGTTTACAGAACTCAGAAAAATAAATTGTTGTTTGTGGAAATATGTTAAATTTATATAAAAAAGAGAGTTAGACGACGCAACATGATACACTTTCCAGATTATTAATAGGACTTCATCAAGCAGTCAATGCAAAAAAAAAGACATTAAAGAGATTGAAATTACTGCACAAAAGCACAAAGGTGAATTGCATTTACAATAAATTTGAAGTAAAGAAGTAAACTTCGAGTCGTCTTTGAATTATTTCGACATTTAAGAACTGCAAAACATAGAATGAATGGTTTGATGTAAAACAACCATTCTCGTGAATTGTTTTCCAACTTAGGCAAATTGTTCCTCTGATTATATTTATGGAAATTGTTATAAACACTAACCATCAACTCCCGTATATTTTACAACTTGTAGTGCTTGTTCATAGCTTTTGATATTTCCATTAGCAATTACTGGGATTGATAGACTTGATTTGATCAACTTGATCATTTCATAATCTGCAGGTTCCGATCGTTGTTCAGGTGTGCGCCCGTGCACTGTTATAAATGAAACACCGGCTTTTTCTGCTTGACGACAAGTTTCTAAAGTCAACTGGCGATTTGTTTTTAGTCGAATTTTGATAGAGACCTGAAATATGCAACACGTCAACCTGTACAATAGAGTCATTACTATTAGTTATGAATTCCCAGTAGATCAACATTACAGTGAAATCTGGTTTTGAAATCCGTCGACGTGCAGTTGCAACGATATCAGCGATTCGTTCGGGATCTACTAATAAACTTGAACCATATCCTTCTTTCATAACATCTCGTTGTGGGCAACCGCAGTTCAGATCAATACCCCGAGAATACCTGAATGAGTATTATATTAATAGCAATATCATCTTGTGTTGCTTCGTTTAACCAAATTGGTCATATCAAAAGCCTATAGGTTCCGTTGTTCGTTATAAAAATATTGTTATAAATGAAACATTGTTATAAATGGTGTAATGTTATAAATGAATCGTCTAGCCAAAGCGTACTTTCAAAATGAGAATATGACGTAATACCTGCTTATAAACATCGCTGCTGTGAAAAACTCCTCTGGATTATTGGTAGCAAACTGCACAATAGTTGGATTGTCACCTGCATAAAATAACCTATAAAGTAACTCACTGAGTTAACCTTAGATCAGCAATCTGAACTCAGAAATCACCAAAAAATATTAAAAAAAGATCCGAGTAAAAAATAGTAAATAGTAACAGTAAATAATATAGCAGCGTAAAACCGAGCAATGTTAACATCAATTTGCAATCGCTTACTTGCTTCAATACAAAATGTTCAAGTATTTCACATTTCTTATAAACTGAAAGGTTGTTTCTAAATTATCGAAAAGACTGAAATAGAATATTACTGCTGTCACAACGAACCTGGACAAGTACTGAATTCGGCAGATCGACATTGTTCCGAGGCAATAAAATGTTTCGCATAGATCATGGGTGTGAATGCAACATCCACTGCATACAATCGAACTAACATTCGAAATGGCAACCTAAACAAAAGTAAACTGCTTCTTATACAACAAATAATACTTTACGATTTCTTGTGACTAATCCTATTCACCGCTGCACTTATTTCATTTTTCATTTGGCTTTTTAATCTGATTTCTTCAATCATTCAACAGCTAGGATCCGATATAGATAGGGACCGTATATTCATCTCACTCAAAATTTGAATTTCCTAAACTGAAAATAATTCGGCTTTAACAATCTAATCTTTTCCGTAATTCATCTCGGCTAAGTATACAGATTTCGTCTGTCTTTAATACCAGGTTTGACATATTTCAACTCTTGCGATGCTTAAGGCATCATTTTACACATAACGTATTCACCAGCGCAGCAGACGTTTCACATTCTTCTAGGAAAGTGATAATGTAATCAATATGAAAGATGATAACAATCAGCAGAAAGACAAGAGACAACATACTCAGCACAGAATTGATGGAGAAATTAGAATGAATGTAAATTTACAAGTATATGTACCTGTAGATTTACATTAATCAGGGAATTGAGAACATATGTCAAGGGGAATAAAGAGCTTACTTCGAATATCGCACCATCGGTGCAGCGACAAATACAGGTATGTCACCATCGACATGTGTGTCTTTGGTGATATCCTTCCCTTCAACACTTTTTCCACTTAACAAATCGTACAATCGACCTTTCATCACTAAAATCACAGAATAATCTGTATGATAAAAGTATACCAAAGCAATCAGCAACTCAATAGCAATTATCAAATCATTTCGGAATCTATTACATCTAGCAGTCAGACATTCAAGATCCAAGCTATTTTCAAATTAATTTATTGTCCTGTAATTTTGCTTGACATTTACAGTGACAGTTTGATCGCTACACCGAAAATTTGATCCTTAAACCAAGGGTTTGATTTTTACATCGGTAGTTTGACATCTAAAGCAACAGCTTGATATCTAACGCTTGATCTCACAAACAACAACTTCATCTCTATATTGATAGTTTGTTTCTTTACAGTAACGGCTTGATTTTTATACCAATAATTGGTCTCCCTATCAATAGCTCAATCTCGATAAAAGAAGACAATTTGAATCAAACATAAAAAGTGGGTAGTATCAAGAGTTCCTCTCACCAATTCGAAGGTGAACTGCACCGGAATGCTGAATTTCCAGGGATTCCTAACATCCATGTTTTCATCCAACTAGAGGTATTAAGATTCTAACCAGTTTAAATACCTCAGCACCCATAACTAGTCAATTCCCGGTATGCTGGTATCGAGAATTTTGTCAGTTTGTAAAATGCCGAGGAACGATATTTTTCGTTACGTCTTCATCAAGATGATACAGGTTGTGACCGACTATGATATTGCAGTAAATCACTCTGCTACACGCAGAATTCAGGAAGTTCTGGGAGGAGTCGGAGTGTTGCGACGTGTGGGTTTGTAACATTTCTTCGTTGATGCGTGTCTTTTATTGCCCTGTAATACTCGGCATATTGTTATCTCATCGTTAACTTATATAAAATTATGTATAGCAGAATAAGATGAACGCCAATGAGGATAACGATAGCGACAAGATGCCATTAGCGGAATCACCGGCGAGTTTGATGGAAACAGAAATGATTGCAGTGAAGGATGAACCTGAAACGATTGGAAATGAAGCTATGGGTATGGAAGGGCGCCGTGATATCGATTCTTTGGAAACCGATGAGAATGTAGGAGATTTAGTTGAAACACCTACCTCAAGTATGTTCCTTTTTTCCCTTTTTTTTTTTTGTTCACTGTGGATGTATGTGTTCAGGTTCTTCGTTCTACGGGAAGTTTAGGATTAAAAATTCAATGTTGCTTGGTACGATTCACATTATCATTTACATCACAACTTACTGTGGGGAACAATGAGTAAATGAGATTACGAACACTGTCACAGCAGGATGAGTGATTTAATAAAAACTTCGCTTCCTTTCCCTGCGAAAGTAGAAGTATAAAATGTTCAGAGAGCAGTACAAATCTCTTCAAATAGTTGTATGCGTATAGAGCAGTATTCCCAGCATCATAACTTAATTGATGTTGAAGCTGTAGTTCTGACTGCTTTTAGTTTATTCTGCTTAGCTAGAAAATAATGGTTGAATTAAATTGCATTCATTTCGATATTCAGATAGTAACTTCAGTGTGGAATCACAATTCGAGAAGGATTCTTTCAAGCGTTTTGAAATGTTGCTAAAGAAAACTGAGAATTTTTCACACTGTTTGAGTGCAGGAGATGTTGAAAGTGTTGATGGTAAAACTTAATTATAATTCGGTTACATTTGTGATTTGTAATTATTGTGCACTTCTTTTTGCGTTTAATGTAGATAATACGTCATCGCAAAGTGAAGTAAAGCAATTTTGCATTTTGTTTAAAGTTATTTCCAGTAAGATTGCTGAAAATAAGGGGATTTTCTTCCATTCGTTCCTAACATTCGAAAAAAGAGCAGTAATTATGTTTTTATTAAAGTGAATTATGAACATTGCAATAGGCTCATCAAACTGTGTGGGAGCCAAAGGACGTCCTCGGAATCAATCTGAAGGAGATCACCGTCACCGCAAAACAGAAAAGGAAGAGGATGAAGAGTTGATAAACCAGGTGAAAAAGAGCGAAACACTGATTCGGTCCGTATGAATTCCCTTTATTTTGTGCGCAAATTGAATTCATTAGCTTATTCTATTTGTTTAAATTATATACTAACATTTATAAGCTACATAGTAAATACTAACTACTGTTGCTTGCAGATTTGAAAAAACGCCATTTTATATAGAAAATGGTGAAATGCGCGACTATCAGATACGAGGGCTTAATTGGCTTATTTCGTTGCAACATAACGGTATTAATGGGATCCTCGCTGATGAAATGGTATATTAAGTTATCTAAGCTTACCTTATAGGATAAAGTTTGTTTCCCCCATATTTTTTAACTGATATATCCAGTAAGTGTCAAAACATATAACCTTTTCATATGCATTCCTTAGGGTTTGGGTAAAACATTACAAACGGTTGCTGTGATAGGCTTTATGAAGCATTACAAAAATGCGTCTGGACCACACTTAGTTATCGCTCCTAAGTCAACGCTACAGAACTGGATCAATGAATTTGGAAAATGGTGTCCTTCATTGAAAGCCATCGCACTTATCGGTATAGCCGAAGCACGAGTAAGACTTTCTTTCTTCAATGTCATATTACCTACTTTTTACCTTAAGTTTGTGCATTTCCTCAGCCCTATTTTTCTTATATCATTTTCATAATGCGCAAATATTTCCCGTCTCATGCTATTTCATTAATATATTGCTTTTATTCGATTTCGTTTTATGCTAGAATATTACAATTTTTTAGGCAGATTTAATACGTAATGAAATTTTACCTGGAAAATGGGATGTTTTGGTAACATCGTATGAGATGGTTTTAAAGGAGAAATCATTATTGAGAAAATATGCTTGGCAATATCTTGTTATTGACGAAGCACATCGTATAAAAAATGAGCATTCGAAGGTGATACTATATTCCGGCCTATTTTTCTATCTTATCATCGATAAGAATTTTGCTTTCCTTTTGTGTGCATTGTGTATTTTTAATATCCAGGACAATTCAATTAGTAGCTTACTTTTAGCACTGTTATTTTCGTAGGGGAATGAGGTGTCTAAGGGATTCTGGATACAGTTGTGTATTTCAAAATTGTATATTTCAGCTATCAGAGATTGTCCGTGAATTCAAATCAAGACATCGTTTGCTAATCACGGGAACACCTTTGCAAAATAATTTGCATGAGTTATGGGCATTACTTAATTTCTTGTTACCGGATATGTTCGCACTTGCATCTGATTTCGATTCTTGGTTTACAACGAATGATATGATGGGCAACCAGGATCTCGTTGCACGTTTACATAAGGTAAATCCGGTTTTTCTTTTTTTATTTCATTGTCACATTTTGTGCCTTGCTTTAATTTTTCATCCTTGAATATATGCTTTTCACTGTTTTTTAGTGGTTCCGTTCTTTATAATAAATTTCAAATTTTGGATTTTCTTTTAGAAGGAGCATCGTAAAAAACTTCATCATAAAAAAGAATTTGGTATGAAGTATTTTTATTCAGGTTTTAAAGCCGTTTTTATTACGACGTTTAAAATCGGATGTCGAAAAGTCTCTTCTTCCAAAGAAGGAAGTTAAGATCTACGTGGGTTTGTCGAAGATGCAAAGAGAATGGTAATCTTTTGATTTTCTAACGAAAGTTACTGTAAACTATTGGGTGGTGTGGAGCGTGTGATAATATAGTTATCGTCTTTATTATGTTCAAGTGCTTATCTGATGTAATAATGGAAATTTTGTTGAAAAATATCGAAATGATTGAGAATGTTTGAATTTGCTGTAGGAAATTCTCATGTTTTATTTCTGAAGTTTTTATTTATAGGTACACCAAGATCTTAATGAAAGATATCGATGTCGTTAATGGTGCTGGCAAATTGGAAAAGGTTAGTTATTTTTCGGAAACCAAACTAGTTCAACATGGTGGATTTATTTATTTCGGAATGTTCAATTTAAAGTGAGTTAATGGAAACTTGGAAGGTGCCATACGAGTTGTCAACTCCTCCACTTAAGCGTAATATTCACAAGTAGTTATTTAAGAATCGTCTTAAATCTGAAATACTGGGATATTTTTGCCTGTGGTGAGCAAAGGCTGAAAATTTCAAACGAATTTGTGCACTGTTGCCTCAAAAGGAGTATAATTGTTTTGAAGGCACGAATAATGAACATATTGATGCACTTGCGAAAATGTTGTAATCACCCATATTTGTTCGATGGTGCTGAACCGGGTCCACCATATACTACAGATCAGCATCTTGTTGACAACTCTGGGAAAATGGTTCTTCTGGATAAGCTACTGGTGAAACTGAAAGAACAAGGTTAGAAGTTCTGTTTGTTTTACGATACGTTGAATTAAAATTGGTGTGAATTAGTTGTCTTTAACATGTAAGCACTAACCAACATTTTACCAGTAATTCTGATGTTTCTAGTTGAAATTTTTCAGGATCTCGCGTCTTGATATTTTCATCGATGTCTCGAATGTTGGATTTATTAGAAGATTATTGCTGGTGGCGTAGTTATCGTTACTGTCGCTTAGATGGACAAACCGTTCATGATGAACGTCAAAAATCTATTGATGAGTTTAACAAGCCGGATTCAGACAAGTTCATTTTTATGCTTACAACACGCGCAGGTGGCCTTGGAATTAATCTTACTGCTGCGGATGTTGTTATCATTTACGATAGTGACTGGAATCCACAAGTAGATTTACAAGCGATGGTTGGTGCTTTCTATGATTTAAAAATCTCAAATGCATTGTCTTCATATCACGAATTGTTCTTACTTCACATGACGAAATTACTATTTCTATGTTTCGTTTATATTTATCATTAATAATCTGTCGTTTTATAAGATTAACAGCTGGTCTACTAGCCACTACTTTTTTCATTTGTTTTCTTGTTTAGTGAAATTTGAAAAACTTGCGCCACCGTTTTATCAGACTCAAGATTTAGGATCGGGCGCATCGTATTGGACAAAAGAAACAAGTTCGCGTTTTCCGATTTATAACAGATAACACTGTGGATGAAAGGATCATTGAGCGAGCTGAAATGAAACTTCATCTTGATTCAATCGTCATACAACAGGTATTAAATGATGTTGTCCGGGTCTGTTTGGTCTTTGCGCACTAATGAAGCGTATGATGTTGATTTGGAAAGTGGTGATATATCAATCCTGTGTTTTTGTGTTTTTGTGCATGTTGTCTTGTATCACTTTTATTTCCAAACCGTTGGACGGTACAGAATTTGAAACTCCTAAATCGTTGGTCTTTTGAAACTTATATCATTTTTTGTCTTTTTTGTTTTGCTTGGATTGGAGTGTTTTGTATTTTGCACTCGTTATCGACGTCAGTCCTGCCAGTGGTAAAATACATAACGTTTAGAAAATTCCATTTTTTTACAAAGGCATTTGCGCTCTACTGTTAAAGCAACCATCACTGGAAATTGGAATTGGTTGGATATTGTGTTCCGTTTGTTCTTTTACTATTTTCTTTTGATTTTTTTTAGGGACGATTGACCGATTCCCAGAAAGCTTTGGGTAAAGAAGACATGCTGGATATGATTAGACATGGTGCTGACCAAGTCTTTGCTTCTAAAGATAGTACAGTTACAGATGAAGATATAGATACTATTTTGGAAAAAGCAGAGCAGAAAACGGAGGTAAGTCACCGGTAATCGTGCCATAATTTTTAGTATTTTTCTATATCTCAAATCTCTCAAAAAACCCAATTTTTTAATAATCGTTTTGCATGCAGGCGCTGAATAAGAAAATTGCTTCATTGGGAGAGACATCGCTTCGAAATTTCGCGTTGGATGCACCATCTTTCGACGCTGATAGTAACTACACAGTTTATAAGTTTGAAGGAGAAGACTATCGTGAGAAACAGAAAAATGCTGGGGGAATTGGCTATTGGATTGAGCCACCAAAACGAGAACGGAAAGCAAATTATCAAGTTGACGCTTATTTTAGGTCGTTTTTTAAATAATTTTTTCATTTATGTTTATAAATATAACCGTTTATCTGACTTTATACAGACTACTATCCTACGTGATTTTAATTTTCGCAGTTTTACCAATTCAGATACACTATTCACTACTACATTACGTTCGGTGAATTTCAAATTGGCTCTATAGTTCATTATTCAACACAAGGATATTTTTATACCGCTTTTGTTTGTTTTAAATCCTACGTTTTTGTTTACTGTCGCATTATTTATAGAGAGGCGATGCGGGGAGGACATGCAGAGCCAAAAGCACCAAAAGCGCCAAGGCCACCAAAACAGCCTAATGTTCAAGATTTTCAATTCTATCCAAAACGATTGTTCGAATTACTAGAAAAGGAAGTTTATCTTCATCGGAAAACGATCGGATACAGAGTATGTTCAAAAAATTGTTCCAGTTTTTTCTGCTAGCTTTTCTCGATGTTGCATATGGGAGTTGTTAGCCATTAGTTTTAAAGAAATTTTCAAAATAAAAGTAGCCCATTGTCAAGTCCTCAAATCCTCATTACAATGTAGACTTTAAAGCTAGGAAATGTTGAGAGTAGTGTTCATTGAAATAATGAAAACTTTAGTCTTTAAATGACCAATATCGTGGATCAAACTTCGTGGCAACGAATGAGACTTCAAGTCTTCCTTGTTTTTATTAACTGCGTATTAATACGTACACTTTGATATGGTTTCAGCTTTTTGCTGCTGAACAGCATAATTTCGCGGATTTTTCTGTGCATCAGGTTGAGCTCTTACAAAAATGGTTTTCTGAGATTGTTGAATTTGAAACCGAACAATGGCGTACCTATGCTTATTTTGGTTTTTAGGCACAAAGACCATCAGATCTCCCTGCTAAAGAAGCAGAAAGAAAACAAAAAGAAGAGCAGAAAAAGATTGACAGCGCTGTGCCACTAACTGAAGAAGAGCAAAATGAAAAGATCCAGCTGCTCACACAAGTAATTTTAAAGTTATCACTTATGGAAAGAAAATGCACTGGAAGTAAATCTCGGGTTACTACTAGTATCTCTAGGGGCAAAGCAATTGGAGTCGTCGAGAGTTTCAGCAGTTTATCAAAGCGAACGAGAAATATGGAAGACATGATTTGGAAAATATTGCGAAGGAAATTGACACAAAATCTACAACTGAGGTTTTTCTTTTTTTTTTGTTAGTTAAACATTCAGCCAAAGTAAAGCTCCGTATTATCCTTCTATCACCAGGTTCTTTTGTTTTGGTATTCCATCGATAATGATTAAAATTAGAAAATTCCATTATTACTTCCCTCTTTTAAGGTTGAAGAATATGCAAAGTTGTTTTGGGAACGCCTAGAGGAACTATCCGATCACGAAAGAATTTTAGCTACAATCGAAAAGGTTTATCAATTGCTGCTAGTACAGTGTTTTTAAAATCATGAATTTCTAGCGAAAATTTCAAATTCCGTCAAATATTCTTGCGTTTGTATACTGATTCTGAAGTCGTTATTTTGAATCTGATATTGTTTGAAATCGTTAATCCAAGAGACTTTGTTTTAGGGTGAAGCTCGCATACAACGTCGGCAGAGTGTTAAAAAGGCACTGGATGAAAAAATAGCAAAGTACAAGGCCCCATTTCATCAACTGCGAATTCAATACGGAACGAATAAAGGCAAAAATTACACAGAAGAGGAGGATCGGTAAGGACCGCTTGCACATTTTTATATTTGGTCAATTGATATAATACGTCAAGTAAATTATCGAAATCTAAAGCTTCCTCTTAAAGGTTTATGGTCTGTCAACTGCATAAGCTTGGATTTGATAAGGACAATGTTTATGAGGAGCTGCGGCAAGCGGTTCGCTCTGCACCACAGTTTCGATTCGATTGGTTTATTAAATCTCGCACATCAACGGTTGGGATTTTCACGAGTTTCTCATTTTCCGAAGACTTCATTAATGAATCAGTGCCCGTTTCGCTGTTTCCATTCACACTTTCTCTGAGCTCTGAACTATTCTTCAGGAGCTTCAACGTCGCTGTAACACACTGATTTCACTGATTGAAAAAGAAATGGGTGAGGTAGAAGTGAAACGGAAGCATGGTCAAAAGTCATCAAATACTCTTACAACTAATACTAACGACCCGAAAATTACACCAGTCACTAAGGTAACTTCCTGATATCTATTAAGTCAGTTGCTGGTAGTAGTCTAAATCAAGGATTTAACGAATAAGTATATCCTTTTGTCGTGTAGTAAAGGCGAATGGTACTCCAGTATTATATCGCCCATTACTACAGTTCCAGAGTGCGGGACGCTGTCAATTTCGCATAAAGTGATATCATACGCCAAGTATTCTAACCCAATGCTTCGTTTTAGTCTGGTCAGAAACGCAAAAATGAACAATCTACATCTAAGGGATCCAGCTCTAAACGTCAGAAATAGTATTGGTCTTATGAATTGTCGCGATGTTTACCTCGGATAAAACCCTTCATCATACTGTTTGTATTTACAACCCGTGTAAGTTTTTCATTCTCATCAGCATTAAAAACTGATTTGTTTTTAATGCTGATGAGAATCGTTTTCAGAAATTGTTGGGCTGAAATGGGACTAAACTCATTTGTCTTGGCCGATTTAATGAACACATTCCTTTGCTGTTATGACAAAAATTTTGATGAGTGATTCTATCCTTGTTATTGTTTGCTTATCCTTGACAATTTATCCGTCCGTAGTACCTGTACATCAACCTGTAATGTATCATAAAACTTGAATACATAGTTTCTTGACACATCAGTAATCGACATCCTTCCTGCCATCGTAACCACCGTTACAATAACGATGATAGCCATGCAAACCGAAGCTTACCAGGCAATATGGATATTAAATGTCTAGCTTGTAAATTATTAACTGGAATATGGAGAGAATTAACTTGGAACCACCATGACATGCACTAGACGTGGCTGGCATTTCCCTCCTAAATTAGGTCATGGTGATTATTCTATTCTATTGTACTCGTAAGTTGCATAGAGGAACGGCTTTTGATATCCGGTTCTCTTGCACCGTTTAGGTGGGATGACTTCCAAATTAACGGTTCAGTTACTGCAGAGATGCAAATGCTTTACGAGAATAATCAAATTTTAACCGGGCATCTTAATGATTCTGTTATCATATCAACTCATGGACAACACATTCAACTCGGAGTAAAACCTCAAAGCCAAGAATGACAGCGTGGTCGACGCTCTGTGTGACTACCCTGGAAAAAAAAACATGTTGGTCCAAAGCAAAAGAATTTTCTAACAAATGAAAGGATTTAAGTATGACCTTCCTCATGTAGAGGAAACTCAGATCAAAAGAGGCAGCATGACTCATGAAGCTTGTGGCCCTTAAGAGGGCCGTTGGGTTATGGGACCAACGTCATGGACGTAAAGGTCTAAGACGTTTTTTTCGGCCTCGAAACCTTTGGCTTCGGTTTGTCTGTCTTCAGTTTTCGCTTCAGCGACTTCTTCGCAGCTGCAACTTTTGTCATTTGTGGCTTCTTGGAAGAAGCAGAGGCAACCTTGCTCTCCTTCTCTTGCTTCGATTTCATCCTCTTTTGCTTATCCGACCTCTTCTTCACCGCAATTTCAACTTTGGTACCGAGCCTGAAGGAACCGTTCACACCAGCACCCTTTGCAAGCGTAAACTTCCCCGATGCAATACCTTTCTTGATAGCCTGTCGAAGTTGGAAATGCACACGTTTACCGTTGCCTCCCAACTGGTAATGAGTAGAGATATATTTCAGGATTGCTACACGGCTTGAGCCTTTTCGATCTTTCAAAACAGTGATCGCCTCCTTTACCATTTGAGAATAGCTAGGATGGCTCTTCGTTGTCTTTGTCCCTTGTCGCTTGGAACGTGCTTTAGGAGTTCCTTGAGCTCTCGATTGATTTTTTGGAGACCTCGCAGCTGAGCTCAATCGAGGGGGTGAAGGCAATTCAACAGCCGATGCCTCCATTATCGATAGCAGAACTACACTCTGTGGAACTAACAATGTGATAACATTGAGGAGGACGATTGCCTTTATATATTACTCCACTTTCCCGCCAAAATCCCAGAAACTGGCGGGAGCTTACAAATTAAACCGTGTGGTCTCGAGTGGAATATTTTTTCAAGATGCCTTTGTCAGGGGCGTGTCTTCTTCATGCAGGATAAGTGTCCCTGTATAGAATACGTGTTCTCCGTATACGATAGGGTCCCCAGTGTACGACACGTGTCTCGGATGACGCAAGACTTTCCAAAACTGTCTCCACTGTATTAAAATTACAGAGAAAGAACCGTAATGTGGCAACATAACTATACCACATATGATAATGCATGCCTCAGGTATGCTACATATGATCCATAATTTCACATGCAACCCACAACAAGCGCACACAGTGGCTAGGACATTAATTTGTTCATAGATTTGAATAGTTGTAAGTTCTTACCCCCTACAAAAAATACCGTAGGAAAAGTGGAGATACAAATTTTGAGTAGTATTAAAGCGATAATTTTAGATTGTCTAACATTAGCTAATGAGACTTTTTCTCGAATTCAGTAATTCTTCAAAAAGCAATTCTTTCGAAAAAAAATTAGAAATTTTGTAACTTTTTCGTGAAATCTCCAAAAGGAGGGAAGACTTCTGGGAATTGCAAATATTTAACTCATTTCTAAAATATTTTTTAATTTACTTCTTCCGAAAGACTCCAATTTATTGTAAAAGATCCCTCGAATCTTCACGATTATGTTCCATTCAAATCAATATGAAAAGAAATAATAATAATAAATTAATAATAATAATAGTGATAATAATAATAGTAATAATAATAATAACAATAATAATGATAACAGTAACAATAATTAATAATAATAATGACAATAGTAATAATGAATAATAATAACAATAATAACAATAATAATAATTATTATTATTACTACTATTATTATTATTATTATTACTATTATTATTATTATTATTATTATTATTATTATTATTATTATTATTATTATTATTATTATTATTATTATTATTATTATTATTATTATTATTATTA